AAAGCAAATCCGTAGCAGAAATGCTGGCCTGCCGATGGTCCCATCAGTGGTGTGCCACTGTGGCTACGACGCCCTCCACGCCTTGGAATAGCAATCAAACCAAGCGAGAAAATCACATTCCTCGGGTGCAATCTCTCGGCTTCGGTCCTCTCCTGTTCCCGGGCCCTTGTGCCCTTGTGCCCTTGTGCCCTTGTGCCCTTGTGCCCTTGTGCCCTGGGGTCCTTGTGCCCTTGTGCCCTGGTGTCCTTGTGCACTGGCATCGGGCTTGTCCAGCTGGTATGAAGTTTCGAACGCCTCGCTTTCGTTCCTGTTCTTTTGCTGATGATGCCAGGATGCTTAGAGCATGTGTATTTATGTTTATATGTGTACATGCATATATTTACCTTTATATGTATGTGTATATAAGTATGTTTGTATGTATGTTTATATATTTATATGTTTACATGTGTACATGTATGTACATGTATATGTGTACACGTATATAAATAAATATATATATATATATATATATATGTATATATGGAGCGTGGGGGCAATGGGTGCAGCACCTCACAGTTGCGCGGTGCGTCGGTGCATCGCATGCAACTCGGTTGCGCCGATGCGCCAGCCAGTGCGCCGTTGCGCCGCTGGAACACGGATGCGCCGATGTACCGGTGCGCCGGTGCGCCGACCCCCATGGATGCGCCGGTGCGCCGACGCCGGCTGCGCCGCTTGCGCCAACTGCGCAGCTTGTGGAGCCTTGGACTGATGGGGCGCCCCTGATTTTAAAATCAGAACTCTTACCACCCTTGAACTCCGAGGATGGAGCCTTGGACTGACGGGGCGCCCTTGATTTTGAAAAAACAGAACTCTTACCACCCTTGAACTCCGAGGATGGAGCCTCGGACTGATAGGGCGGTCCTGCCTTTAGAACCAGAAGTCTTATCACCCTTGAACACCCCTGATTTTAAAAATCAGAACTCTTATCACCATTGACCTCCGAGGATGGAGCCTGGGACTGATGGGACCCCCTGGGTTGAAAATGAGAACTCTTATCACCCTTGAACTCCGAGGATGGAGCCTGGGACTGATGGAGCGCCCCTGGCTTGAAAATAAAAACTCTAATCACCCTTGAACTCCGAGGATGAAGCCCTGGCATGATGGGGCGTCCCTGATTTCAATATCAGAAGTCTTATCGCCTTTGAACTCCGAGGATGGAGCCTTGGACTGATGGGGTGCCCCTGATTTTAAAATCAGAACTCTCACCACCCTTGAACTCCGGGGATGGAGCCTCGGACTGATGGGGCGCCCTTGACTTTAAAACCAGAAGTCTTATCACCGTTGAACTCCGAGGATGGAGCCTCGGACTGATGGGGCGCCCCTGATTTCAATATCAGAACTCTTATCACCATTGAACTCCGAGGATGGAGCCTGGGACTGATGGGGCGCCCCTGGATGAAAAATGAGAACTCTTACCACCCTTGAACTCCGAGGATGGAGCCTCGAACTGATGGGGCGCCCCTGAGTTTAAAATCAGAACTCTTACCACCCTTGAACTCCGAGGATGGAGCCTCGGACTGATAGGGCGGTCCTGTCTTTAAAACCAGAAGTCTTATCACCCTTGAACACCCCTGATTTTAAAATCAGAACTCTTATCACCATTGACCTCCGAGGAAGGAGCCTGGGACTGATGGGACCCCCTGGATTGAAAATGAGAACTCTTATCACCCTTGAACTCCGAGGATGGAGCCTGGGACTGATGGGACCCCTGGGATTGAAAATCAGAACTCTAATCACCATTGAACTCCGAGGATGGAGCCTGGGACTGATGGGGCGGCCCTGATTTTAAAATCAGAACTCTTACCACCCTTGAACTCCGAGGATGGAGCCTTGGACTGATGGGGCGCCCCTGATTTCAAAATGAGAACTCTTACCACCCTTGAACTCCGAGGATGGAGCCTCGGACTGATGGGGCGCCCCTGATATTAAAATCAAAACTCTCACCACCCCTTGAACTCCGAGGATGGAGCCTTGGACTGACGGGGTGCCCTTGATTTTGAAAAAACAGAACTCTGACCACCCTTGAACTCCGAGGATGGAGCCTTGGACTAATGCGGAGCCCCTGATTTCAGAATCAGAACTTCTATCACCATTGAACTCCGAGGACGGAGCCTCGGACTGATAGGGCGGTCCTGTCTTTAAAACCAGAAGTCTTATCACCCTTGAACTCCGAGGATGGAGCCTCGGACTGATGGGGCGCCCCTGATTTTAAAATCACAACTCTATTCATGTTTATATGTATACATGTGTACATGTATATGTGTATATGTGTATGGGTAATTATGTATGCTTGTGTAGATGCATATATTTAGATGTGTATATATGTATATATGTATAAATGTATATATGTATATGTGTACACGTGTTTTGTGTATATATGTGTACGTGTACATATGTATATGTGTATGTATGTATGCATGCATAAATGTATGTATATATATATATATATATATCAAAATGTATATATGTACATAAGTAATTATGTGCATGCTTATATACGTATATGTGTATATATGTATAGATGTATATATGTACATCTGTACTTTTGCATATGTACATACATATATATGTTTTATACGTGTTATATGTATATATGTACATATGTAGAAATGTATACATATGTATATGTATACTTGTATATTTGTATATATGTCTATGTGCATTCGCGCTCTTGTGCCCTTGTGCCCGTATGCCCTCATGCCCTTGTGCCCTTGTGCCCTTGTGCCCTTGTGCCCTTGTGCCCTTGTGCCCTTGTGCCCTTGTGCCCTTGTGCCCTTGTGCCCTTGTGCCCTTGTGCCCTTGTGCCCTTGTGCCCTTGCCGTGCCCTTGTGGTGCCCTTGTGGTGCCCTTGCCGTGCCCTTGCCGTGCCCTTGTGCCCTTGTGCCCTTGCGCCCTTGTGCCCGGGATCACTGGGGGACCTCTCTCAATGATTTGACGGGGAACCTACCAGTTCGGAATCATCAGTCCCTTGCACAAACCACTCATGCACCCGGCTTGCTAGCAGTGTACTCACTATGAAAGTGGCTTAGAACCTCGACGCCGGTTGCTGAAAGCAACGCGCACCACCACACCAACAGATAGACACACAAGCGCACAGACACACACGCACACACAAAGAGCTACACGCAAAGACGCCCATGCCAACTCGCGAAGAAGGGCGCCGGCTGTCCATGAAGAACTGGCGACCTTGCAACAGCAACGTACGCTGCGGAGCTCTCAGACGGGAGGTACACCTTCAACTGAGAACTTCTAGGTGTATGTGCGATACACCATACACCTTTCAAGACACCCCTTGAAAGGTCACCTCGACCCCAGTAAGGGAGAACAGCCAGCTGGTTTCCCCTCGCTGCTCTCGTACGCATGGGACACAGCCCCGGTTTCGGCTTCCCCCATGGCTCCCTTGAAACCGCACGGAGGATACGGACGGACGCGGAGAGCCCACCGTTAAATTCTGATTTTCAGATGGTTAAAAAATGCTTAGGGATTGGAAGATTGACAGAATTTGAACAGCCAATTCCCAAACCCCAATTTGCAACTTACCCCAAACTTCGAAACCCTGATCCACGAAACCGCCCCCGAAACTTTCAACTTCCACTAAACCCTGAAACGCAAACTCCAAAACCCCAAACTTGGATCGCAAACCCAACCCAAAGCCCTGAACCGTAAACCCCCAACCCCAAATTTCCAGCCTTCGCTAAACTCGCACAGCAAACCCCCAAACCCCAAACTGTCAATTTCCCCACGGGTTGGAGATTTCAGCCGGACTTTTCAAGGGCCAGTATTCGATCTGCCCCTGGCACGTGAATGCCTTCGAGTTGCCCTCTGGGTTTTGGGTTTGACATTGGCTGCCATTGATACACAACTTAGCTGAGGTTGCTCAATGATCTGCAAAAACTCATACTGCCAATTGAACAAGGACTTGGATTAGAAGCATCCCTGATCACAACAATGGGCAAACAGGGTGTGCTTTGCAAAATGCTCGACAAAAGCGATACCAAAGGCAAAACTTGCAGATCGACACCTGACTAGCTCGTACGATTGCCTATGTCTTGAGGAAGCACGAAGTTCTTGGAAAGCCACCTCATAGGCCAAAGCATCGGCGATTGAGTCTCGTCGTCCGACAGTGAGGCCCACCTCTTCAAAGACAAGCTGAGTCTCAACAATACAGGCTGACCGTCCCCGCGACCGCGATCTGACGGCCTGCGGCGGGCACCCGCATCCGCGGCGAAGGCCTGAGATGCCCAAAGAAATTTCCCGGTCGCCGAGCCACCTCACGATCGCCATGTACCCTAAACTCTCAACCCTCGACATCCCTGAACACTTGTAGACACTAAACCCGAAACCCTACAAACCCCCAACGGCAAACCTCACATCCTGTTTTGAGATCCCGACTTGTCGGCTGCGCCACGGGGCGACAGCAGGAGACATGCCCGGAGACGGGTAGGCGGCCAGGTCGAGGCCCGGGTGGACCTGCCAGAAGAGCAAGCAAGAAGTCTCCACGATGCATTAAGCGAGCGTTCCGAAAAGGAAAACATCTGTGTCCGGTGCATCTTTGGAAGGCCGCCGGACTCCGGTCATGATCTCCTGCTCGCGAAGTCTCCGCCCGTTGGTCTAAGTCTAAGCTTTGGGTCGCAGCCTCCTCGGTCATGGAAGACCAGCGACGCCGTCCACCTGGCAAGTTACGGGACCCAGCTCCGGCCCGGGGCTCTCACCCCCCGCGGAATCGGCCAGGCCTTGCGAACTCAGTGGAGTCTCCTGGCTCAGTAGGCAGATAACACCGCTACAGTCCCTGGGTGGCTTGGCCGGGGTCGTAAACACAAGAATCACAACTGCCATCAGCGCCTCTGACACCGCAAGTACAGCCAACCCGTTCCATTCAAGCAACACCTTTTTGTCAAGTTCTCGGGCTTGCTCACACATCGCTGCTTCTGTCTCTTGGGATTCGGAGGCAATGTCTACGTCTACAGAAGCTCCTGCTTGCCCTGACCAAACTTTTGCCTGTATTCATCCATCTTGCAGTAAGTCTCCTGGCAATACACGGCCATGCAGTGGAAACTGCCTTGTGCGCAAGCAGACTTCGCGTACGTCTCCGCTATGGCGACAGTTGTCGGAGGTTGCTGCAAAGCCGGTTCAGCAAAACCAATTGACTTCCAGCCGTTGGGCTCCGGATATCGTCGGTTACAAACCGCAGTTGCATCCTCCAGCTTGGAAGCTGGGCTTATGCCACTCTCTTCACAAAGCCCGTTCAAAAAGCAGTACTGAGCGTCGTTGTCTTCTGCAGCGGGATGAGCCTGGAGGGCTTGATGGAAGAGCTGCCGAGCAGCGAGCGACAGATCCTGATCGACCAGGCAGCTCTTCACAATGTTGTCCCATCTGATCTGAAAGAAGCACCACGACTGTAGATTCGGCTCACCCGCCGATGTGGCAATTCGCGCTCGCATTGTCTCCTCCGTTGGCAGCGCGCCAGTGGAGTTGAGGCAGTCGAACGTACTTGAGCACAGCCAGGGTGCCTGGGAGCAGAAAACCTGAGCGCAGCTTTGAGAATCTTTGGGATGCTCAATCAAGCCTCTTTATCTGATTATCCGAGCCCGAGCCCCCGAGGCCCCCGAGCCTTTCAGACACTCACCGAATGTCACAAAGCTACTCATTCCTCGCCTCACCGAACGTCTGTGAGCTGGCCCTTGGCGACTTGGCGCGCATCTCAACGGCAGCTCGTTGAACGAAGCCCAGGCCCTGCAGTCCACATGCGGATGCTTTTGCTTCAGGTTTCAGGCTCTCCCACGTCTCATGTATTGCTCATGGGGCTTGCGGCATGCCTCAGGCTGCGAAGTTGCAGGCACCAGCAACAGTGAAGCTAAAAACCTTGCAGAGACGGGGCAAGAACCGCTCGCAAAACAGAACCTTACAGACCTCGTACCTTGCGGTTGATCAAGCACACCGTAAACTTTGCGCAAAAAGTCCCCAATGCACAGCCGGACAGGGTGAAAGTTTGGTGAAAGTGCTTCTATTCACCGGGACGCAACAGGTTTCTCATCATCCAAAGCGACATGAACGTGAACGCCTCTGCCCCGTGGGATTTCTAGGCCTTGAGGCTACATGGCCGCAGGAACAAGCGATTACATGCTTGGCATTGCTGGGGTTGGTTATGGTTGGAGGACAAGCAGCGACTACAACCCTTGGGCCCGGCGAAATTGCGTAAACGACCACTACTAGGAGCCAAAAACTGTTCGGTTCAGTCCTGACCGGATCGAAGAAAAGGCGAAGATGGTATTGGTTGAGGATGCCTGGCATTCCACAAAAAACAGGATATGCATGTAGCACAGGAATCGAAACTTCACCTTTATCGCTCCTGAAGCTACGTGCTGTCACCGCAAGGTCCAAACAAGTTTCAGCTGACCAGCAAACACCCCCAGTCAACTGTCAAGTTCCGGCAGTGCGGCGGAGCTGGTGAAAACTTGACTGCCTGGCAGAAGCCGGAACGCCAAGCCACTGAGCATCTGGCTGCATCTCAAATTTGTTGACCAACACACTGCAGATCGAGTAAAATGTGATCCGCGACGGAAAAGACATGTATTCCCGTCGCAATAACCCGTTGCGCCTCACTTGGCCCTGACAAGGCACGAGCCCGTGATATGCCTGGCACCTGGCGGAAGCAGTCAGAACTAATCAGTGGCAACTAGATCGCATTAGGTTAGGCAACGAAACTTCCCAGCTGCAAGTTACAAAGACTGTAGACGGGTCATGTCAATCTCGCAACATGGCGCACACAAACACGCACACACACGCGGATATACATACATACATACATACATATATATATATGCATACACACGCAGTTGCTAAGGGCCTATACTATCAGACGACCCTCTACAGGCAGATTCGGCATTTGTTCCCTTCCGCATTTTCTGGATGATGTGGATTCTGTGACAAAAACTGCATCCGAAAGATACCCACTTCACTCACCGATCCATGATCCACACCCACCTTGAGCAGTAGCTTCGTGGTGCAGACGTGGAACATACGGGAAAGCCAAAGATACTCACACCAGAGTTGCCTGGTGGAACTTACCGCAACTGCTCTGAGCAGTGTCCATCCGGAAAAGCGACAGATGCATTTCATCCGTGCGAGCTGCGATCCCAACCAAACACAACCTGATTCAATAGACATTGTGGGATTCGCTAAGCAACGTCCGGTCTCTTTCCTCTACTTCGTTTCTGCTTCCCTTCCAGGCAGATTGGCTCCGAACGGAACGAGGCTGTCCTACTCGACGCGAATTCGTGCTGCCACGCTAGAACACGTTGAAATACCCGTTCCCTTGTCAAAACTTCCTCGAAAGCACTCTAGTGAAAGTCTCGAGATGCACGAGGCCTCAGCCCCGGGAACCTCGCCCGGAGGTGCACCCGCAGCTGCGAGCTGCACCTCGGACTCATCATCTTACAAAAAGCGAGCCTTCTGGCAAGGGTGTGAGCACAGATTGTTTGCAAGTGCAGAGTTCCCGACTGCAGCCACAAGTGCAGCTGAAGGGGCTGAAGTGCCTTCTGAACAGATGCAGCTGACACTTGCAAATTTCCAACCACATTCCAGCCTGCCGATCCGTCATCGGTCAAGGTCCTGCCAACATAGCCGCGAAAGCAAACAATGAGAGCCGATAGGGTTTGCATGCGAGCTTGGCAACGGCACAAGCCCTTGGCAACATAAGGCCAAGGTCATGGCAAAACGAAAAGCCGGAACGCAGCTGCATGAAACACAAATGCAGTCTCGGCCTTCGCTTGGGACCAAACTGCGGAGCCGCAGCTGTCCTCGGTCTTGGCTGCAAAGGCACTACTACAGTTCCCTAGCATCGGCCTGCCTGCTACTGTAACATAGATGCAGAAAAAGTCGGCCCTTTTCCATCGTCCACACAAAGCACTTCCTTATGTTGCCCCATGAGATTGCACATGCGGTGACCAGGCGTCCCTGCGACAGGACCTGCTCCTGAAGGGCCGGCGGGGTGACTGCAACGCTGTGACCTGCACAGAAGCAACCGTAATGACAGGATAAGGGCACCCGATCTGAAAACAGGTGGTCGGATCGGCTCCACGAGTCAAGCTGCTGATCCTGGTCCCGGCCAGGCGGGCTTCGGGGCCAGGCGCGAGTCATGAACCGAACTGACAGCTCTGCAAACTTCGCCGTTCCCACAAGGGAAACCCTAGACAGAGAAGCCGAGCAGAGGTGCACAGACCCTTTGAATGCCAGATAATGCCAGTAGCAATGCTTCGGTGTCAGCTGTAGCGTGATCCGTGCTAGGTGAAGATGATCTCATGATGTATATCATACTGGTCCAAGTCCCCCGGCGCTGAAGACCCGGCGAGCTGGCAACCGAACTCGCAAGATACTGCACCTAAGACAAGCATGTGGCTGCGACAGAAGTTTCTGAATCTGACATTTTGTTGCCAAGGCCGGGACCGATCCGGGTGGCCTCCACGGCTTTTTCAGACACCCCGAAAGCATGTCGCATGCCATGGGTGACACTCTAGCGGCAATCTCTCAAGCTTCTTGCAAAATACTCTATGGCTCTATGCAACCAGAAACTGCCACAAAAATAGCTAACCTACTTCTTTTCAACCATCAAACATTCAGTATTCGAGAATCTCGTGCAACTCCTCCAGAATGTCCCAGCATCACAGGCCACAGCCCGCCTAGGTTCTCCCGGTCTCGGCTCAGTTCGCGCGCGGGACAGAGCCCCGGGGACCTACACAGAGCAAGTCTTGAAGTGCTCGACAGGACTGGGCGGCCCTTTCGCTGAATGGCGGGCAAGGGAAAGTGCCAGCAAGATGCACAACATTCATTCTTGGCTTTCGGCTGGTGCTCCCTGTTGGGAAGCGGCTACCAAAGGGCTGTACCTAGCAGACACGGAAAACGGCACACACCCGCGAACTTCTTCGAAGCCACTCTTCCACAATCGTCGTCCAGAGTCGGAAGGATCGAGCAGACGGCGAGGCCCCAGCCCCGCAACCGGAGGGCTCTGGCGAACGTGGTTCTGGCCGAGCAAGAATCCCCCAATCAGAAAACTGTCGCACAAATTGCACACTTGTCCAAGGCATGATTCTGTTGTGGTGGTGCGTCAATTTACGCGATTCAATCTGCTGCAATCTCCGGCAAACTGTTCAATAGCAATGTGCTGGACAGCCTCATGCGACAGGACCGCGGCCATGCAAGCCTTCGATGTTGGAGAGAACAATGGCGTGTAAACCAGAAAGAATGGATGCTGACATAAGCTGACTGTGACATGATGGCTGACATGGGTGCACACATCCGTCGCGGCCTTTGCCGCGTCCGTGTGTGCAGCGCAAACAGCAATGGATCAAACGTCCTGTGCTAGAATTACAGTGCCTATATGGCTCAGACACAGTGCACGCCACAGTCTGGAATTGGCTGTCTCTCGACAAGCTCGGGTTTGCTTGTGCTGCTGGGTGTCTCAATAGCATTGTACTGGGTGACTGCGAAACGAAAACCATGACGCTGCTGAGGATTTGGTCTACTTGAAGGCATATTAAAGCAACTGAGCCCAAACAACGCAGGTACATGCACGTGTGCGTTGCAGACTCGAAACGACTGAATGATTCCGATGCGACGAACCATATCGGTAGCTTTCCAGCCTTTATACGGGACATCATTGTGAACCTGAGGCTAGCGGGCTGCAACTCTGCTTGCCCTTGGCCCTGGGCCCTAGCTCATGCGGTCTTTGAGGCTTCGGGGGCACAACGTTCATCCATGACCCCAAGCGGTTCGCTCCCTGAGTACGAGCCCACCACTGCGAACAAACCTGCAAAAAACCTTCCATGGTAAACACAATAGAATCGCTCCGCCTCTGAATCTTCTGCGCGTTTTAAATCGTTTCACTGGTTTTCGCCAAAATAAACACATTAAAAACATGCCAACACCTGGGTCTGCAGGACCTTCTGCAAGAGCAGTGCCTTACAAATGCTCACGTGTTAGCACAAAGCAAGTACCACCACACCTGTGGAAGACTGAGTTAGCGTACAGACACAAGCCTTCTGGTTTAGATTTATGGTTGAAGCATTACGATTTTGGGTGTGAGGTTAAAAGGACAAGTGCTGGTGGTGAGACTTTTGTCTTTGGCTTTGGTGGTGTTCCATGGGATCTGTTGAGTTTTGGTGCATAGTAACAAAAACAGCCTTACAATTTCAATTGAAAAACAAGACATTGTGGAGGCACGATTATGTTTTTTTTGTGTCGGCGGGTCTCGGTGGCTGCAGTTGCAAGCGCTCGGTCCCAAGAAACATCTAAACTGCGTTCAAACTCGCAAACAACACACGAAAACAGCGGTGAAACATGAAGAGGAGGCAACGTACTTGACTTGGTCAGCATAAGCCGTTCAGCATGGAAAGAAGAGGCCTCGCTCTCAGCGACCTCAAGCTGAAGCGACAGGGGACCGTCGTCGCAAGCTGCCCAAGACAGCGAAAAGTGCCCAAGAAAAGCACCGGCAGCCGTTCTAGCCCCGTCAAACAACGGACAGCCTTTATCGAGGTCGTGCACACGAAGTCCAGAAATCCAGAAGAGTGTGACGTCCACACTTGCCGGCGGGCAAAGTCCAACGAGCATCCAGCCGCAGACGCTGGACATGCACGTGGCGCACAGCGGTCACACCGGTCTGGTGGCAGCCGGCAGGGAGAAGCCGTGGAATCGGGGTTGATCTCACTGAGAAAACGGCGCAGAGCTGGAAACATTCAAGCGGGCGTGTGTCTTGGACGGCATGAATTTCCGGAACCAGTTGAAGCGCAACTCTCCTGGTCAAAACTCCAAGTTCGCGTGTATGACCCTGACCTCGCTTGCGGTTTTTGAGCTTGTACCACTCTTTTTGCCAGTTTCACCGCTGTTTCATGTCTGTTTGTCCGTTTCGCCGCAGTTTACTGGGATCAAGAGCTGCAATCGAGGCCCACACGCAAAAAAACTTAGCTTATTGTCGATTGGCAAGGGGCGAAAAGGGAAGGGGAAACCTTCGAAGGGTAAAGGTCCTTCTTCTATGGCTTCCTCGTCTTCTACCCC